GAGCAAAGCAACTGTGACCTAAAACACTGGAGTAAGACTAGCCTTTAACTATATTTTGCTAAGGCAGAGGTAAAATTTTAAAAAAATAAGGCCTTTAAGTTGCACATTCACTGGACTCCTTATCTTCTTTTAGTTCTCACAGTAAGTAAAAGCAGTGCCTCACCAGATCTGCATCAATGTTTAATCTATTGCTTTTAAAAATGGAGAATGACAGATACAAAGAAGAAACAATAATTAGAGAAAAAAGCAAGCAATATTCCCAGAAAAGCACATTTAAGAATTACCAACTACAGAGCTGAAACCCAAGGCACAAGGGATGGGAGAAGGTTAATGTAGTGGGTTTCTGTGGCTGGGTTTTGTTAGCAGGGGGCTACAGGGGTGGCTTCTGTTAGAAGCTGCTTGAAGCTTCTCCTGCCTGGTGGAGCCAATGCAAGCCAGATCCAGGATGGGCTTCCTGCTGCTGGCCAAGGCTGAGCCAATCAGGAGCAATAGTAATGCCTCTGTGATAACACAGTTAAGAACATATTTAAAGTTGTTGCGCAGGTGAAAATTCCAGCCAGGGAAGTGAGAACATGGGAACAACAAGGTAGACACCAAGGTCAGTGCACAAGGAGGGGCAGGAGATGCTCCAGGCACCGGAGCTGAGGCCCCTGCAGCCCATGGTGCAGACCAGGGTGGAGCAGCTGTGCCCCTGCAGCCCATGGAGGACCATCGGGGTACAGAGACCCACCTGCAGCTCATGGAGGAGCCCATGCCGGAGTAGGTAGATGCATGAAAGAGGCTGTGACCCTGTGGGAGGCCCAAGATGGAGCAGGGTCCTGCTGGAGATCTCCAGGCAGTGGAGAGAGGACCCCATGCTGGAGCAAGTTTTTCCCTGGTAGGACTTGTGGCCCCTGTGGGGGACCCACATCAGTACAGCTCATTCATGAAGGACTGTGCCCCATGGAGGAGTGACCCACGGGACAGCAGTTTGGGAAGAACTGTTGCCTGTGGGATGGACTCACTCTGGAAAGGTCCATCAAGGACTGTCTCCCGGGGGAGGGACCCCACAGGAGCAGAGGAAGGAAGGACTCCTCCCCCTGACCAGCGGCAGAAACAACTGACCGCAACCTCCATTCCCTGTCTCCCTGCGCTGCTGGGGGGAAGAAGGCAGAATTTTGGAAGCAAGGGGGGGGGGGGAAGGTGTTTTTAAGATTATTTTACTTCTCACTCTTTTGCTCTGACCCTGTTAGTAATAAATTCAGTTGCTATCCCCACTTAGAGTTTGTTTTACCCATGATGGTGATCAGTAAGCGACCTCTCCCAGCTCATAAATCATGAACCCTTCGCTGGTTTTTTTCTCTTCTCTGTCCAGTTGCAGAGGGGAGTGAGAGAGTAGCTTTAGTCGGTACCTGGCATCCAGCCCAGGGTCAACCCACTACAGTTACACACACAAGAATAAAGAGTTTTGTGGTTAGAAAGCATGTGAGAACAGCCCCTGGGAACCAAGAAGAAGCTGACAGAATAAAATTGATTATGATTCTGGTTTCTTACCTGTATCTAGCCACACATTTTTATGGATGAGTGTAACATAATAATATGAAGAAATAATTTGGAAAAAATGATATATCATGCTTATTTTAATTTTAAAAAAAATAACCATTTATTTTCTTTAAAGTTTCCTGTATTATTTAAATTAGAGAAAAGAAATAACAACAGGGCTGGGTAAAAAACTTTGAGATATTTGTTTTTTCCTTTTAAATATCAAAATCAAATCTAATGTTCTCTAGTTCTGCTGACTGAATCTTCTGGAGATATAAAAGCAAGTATATTATGACCTCCAGACCTTCGATGGGTTATGAATATAAAAATTTGAAGAGAACCTTTGTTTAAGATTCCTTTTGGACTAGAATTAAAAACAAGCTGCCAAAGCGCATACAGATTAGTGAGGTTGGATTTGGATATGGGTATTTCTGGTTAAGATCCTTAATCTCACTCAGAATTGCAATAAAATGAGCGAGGCTCATGAGTGGGGATGAGTGGGTTATAAGCAAAAAAAAGAGGAAGAATGCCATGTGAACTCATTGCAAGATACAAAGCTAAGAAGTGACAGTATCTCTCCATCTCCCCTGCTTAACTTTTAGTACCTTATAAGTACAATTGCTAAAGGCTTCTCTACTTGCCACCACCTCATAGCTAGAACTTCTCATGCAAGTCAAATCTTCCATTTTATAGCCCTTCTAGACAAAGACCCTGCTTCTAAAACAACTGCAACGCAACTTTTCTTCTCCAAAATATGCTAGTTTTAAATTTGATTAAAAAGTGCTCCAGATTATAGGATCTAAAGTACAAAAAATTTCTGTTTCTTCCCTAACTCTGTCATTAGTGTTGCAGAAATAGATCTAAATCTTGCCATAAAGAATAAATATGGACACCAATAGTCTGGTGGTGCATGTACAATACAAATCATGTATTCTGCCTTTAGAATATACATGTGAGATGCCAAAGATAATCAGCAAAAAATACAAAGCAAGTGACTGACTACACTGACTACTCATTTTTGACAGTGCTTATCTGAGAAACTGTAAAGTGAGAACTATCAAAGACTGAAGTTCAAAATGTAAATCACAATACATGAAAGGCATACTCCAAATTTCTTTAGGTGTAAATTTATGATCCATGCAAACTTCTGAGAAGTCTGTATTATACAGTGAACTTACATTAATCCTATGCAATTTCCATAGAGTTTTCCTGCTTAAAAATCCCCCTCACAGTAACAGCACAGGGGTGTAACAGTTATAGGGGTAGTTCTATTTATTTATGGGATTCCATACTAATTTTCAGCATATCCACTTAGTTAGACAGACTCTTTCATATGCAGTGTGAGTGAGTGGACTTCCTGATTACGTTCAGTTCACTCCAGGACCTTCAAATGCATCACTAAAACAGCTCAACACAAGGAACTGGCTGCCATGGCAAGATGAAGTCTTGCCTGTACCACAAAACAAAACTAATTACAACTAGAGTCTTGAAGTTTACCAAGAACTTTCACCAACACTTTTTCAGCTGTTTATTTTCATTACCTCTCCTTGGATCTACTGGTAAAAAAAGAGGGAGGAAAATAAAGTGATTGGTGATTAATACAGCCAAGCTGATCTGACTAGAGGCTCAGAGTGCCATTAATCACTTAGAAGAATGTTTTCAATATTATTTCCTCTCCTGTCAGCCTATCTCTAAGTAACTTCAGGTGGAAGCATGGACCTCTGTACAGTGAACAAAAGCCCACTGACAGCAGGCTTGTTTTCATTAATTTCTTGTGAAGGATCCCTTTTAAGTTGTCTATAGTTTAAAAACTTCGCTTCAATGCAATCTTAGTTTCCCCTGTACATCTTTTCTTAGTACCTCCTGACACCAGACTAGCAGTTGCTCCTGAATTCACATTGGTCACATCAACTTTTGAAAGTCATGTTAACACTGCAACTGTGATCATCCAACTCAAGTCAAGGATTCTGCTAAATTGCAGACACAACCAGAGAGAAAGTTTTCAGTATACTACCAGCTACTCCTCATAGGCTGACAAAGACTTTAGAGGTCAACAAGGAACAAAATTTCAAGATTGATACTCAGAATTCAATAGTATCTACAAGAAATCCAGACAGAAAATAAGCTTATGAGGAAAACACAAATTTTTTGAAGTAATTTAAATAGGAAAAAAATCTCTTCTACTTCATTATGAAAGTTAATAACAGAGATGACTAAATGAAACATTTGTTTCAAGATTGCCAGGAACACTCACATGCTTGTTCCATACCACCACTCCACTATTTGTGCACGATGTCAGCAAATTCAGAATATTTCTTTCTAATAAGAAGCAGCATTGGTACTAGAACTATTACTTCCTTATAATAACCTGTTTCCTCTAACTTGTGTACTCTGTAGTCCAATTAATTATAGATTGCAAGACTAATACTTCTGAATATATTTTCTCTGGAAGTTAGATATCAACTTCTTTGACTGACTAGATATGCCTAGCATTACTCATTTTCATTCATACAAAAAATACTTACAAAAAGGTGTTTTCCCGCTTTTTCATATTCCTGAATGTTGCTGCCTACAGGCTTCTCTAGCCAGTGTAAATTAACAAGAAGGGAAAAAAAATGAAACACTAACAGCACTAAAGGTAGGACACGTGTGAGACAAAAACATATTAAACTCAATTACATAATGTTACTAAAGCAATTTCAGGACAGCAGGTGGTTTGATCCAGGTGTGTGGGGCTACACTCCCAAATCTTCAATTGACAGCTGTAGCTCCAAGTGATGCAATGGCATTTTAAACTTTAAAATGAAAATTACTCCTTTGAATTTAAAGGTAACTAACCATCTAGCTACCCTACCCACAAAAGCCAACATCAGGATTCATTGTCACAACTAAGGCCCACTTATCTGATGGATAAATCTAACAGGAGAAAAGACATAAGCATAATTAGATAATCTCCCTGTTCACAGCAATATGTTAGCAGTGAGTGTAATTATGATAGTAAACAAAATGAAACATATACAAAGGCTTTATAAAAATCCATATATATGGCACAAACTATGGAAGAGCTCAACAGTTAGCATTTTAAAACAAAAGATGCTCAACAACAGAAATTACATGTGCTTCTTCTACCTATCTGTAGCAGCAGAGATCTCTGAATTGGGAAATTCCTTAGCTAACTCTCAGGATCAATAATCCAGCCCAAAAGAACGTCACTGGTCTTTGGTCACCGACTCCAGAAGTGTCACTGGTCTTCTGATAAGTCATGTCTTCTGCACAGTGTCAGCATTTTTAGAGCTTCTGTAGAGTCTGAGCAACATTTCCCAGCGCTTTCATTAGTAAGCATCAAAAGAAATAATTGAGACAGAAAAATATGTTTTGACCTAAAACACAAAACTGGACTAAAGTAACTCACTAACTCATGACAAACATTCCTTAAATTTACTTTGTATGGGAAATTAAACACAGTAAAGAAATCTTACCGTCATGAATCTCAAATGCCAAACTAGTGATCTTCTGTGTAATTATCATCATTGGACTGTTTAAAAAAAGGAAGAAAGAATAATTTAGATAGAAGTTCAGGATTTTCTTTTACATGGAAATACCAGGGAAAGTTTATACTAGTAGTCCAGCCTAATTACTCTAAACTGGAAGATCTGCAATGCAAGAACAAAGTGAATAATTTTTTTGAGCTCAAACCACTATAGAATTTTCAATGCAATGAAAAGAATTTAAGGCTTAAATGCAGTATTTGATCATTCACATCTTTTATTGCTTTATTAGGTTCCACAAACACAGGTAGTGTTTCACATGTATTTTCTACTAACATAGTTTCTTTTTTTTACCGTAAGAAGAGTAAAGGAAAAAGGGCAGTAAGAGCAATTATATTCATTGCAAGTTACTGCAGGAGCAAAAAAATACAATAAAATTATACCAAAGTTGAACATTAAAATAAATTATTTAGGTATGCTGACCACTTCCAGCGTTTCTACTAACGCCTGGTCCTATACTTAATTTTTCCATCTAGAATTATTGTTTGCTTCTGGTAAACATATCTGGCAAAACAAAATCCCAGTATAATTATGCTGGCTCCAACAGAGTTCCCTTTGTTCTGAATTTGGTACACTTGGATGAATCTTAAACTATCCAAGAAATATTCTTCCCTGGTTATCCAACTCAGCTTTGTACTGAGAAATTATACCATCTTCGTACTATTTAAGAGTTTTTGAATGATGTAAATCTCAATATTGAAAACCCTCAGCCTGGGGGAGGGAAAGAATGGAGGACTGCGCAAAGTAAGCTACTAGAATTTAGAAATTTAACTTTGAAATCAGATCTCAAAAAATGTATCAGAGTTATATTTACCTAGTAGTGAGCTGGAGGAAAAAAACCAAAACAACTAAACCATAAAACCAAAACTCAACAAAAAACCCTCAAAAAACAACAAAAAAAAAGCACAACAAAATAATCATACTGTACATTGGGCATTAGTTTTGTTCAAGTTTTGAGTGCACTTAGCATTTTTATAACACATTTAAGTTGGCACAGGAAAACAAATCCAAAAGCCATCAAGTCCTCCTTCATTGACAGGGCTACACCAGTATTTTGCCAGATTAATTTTGTCAAATTAATTTTTTTTTAGGTAATGGTTATTTCAAAACACACAATTATTTCCAGTCCTCAAAATGCAATCGGGGAAAAAAAATTCTACTGTTATTATCAGTGCCCCAAAATCCTGATATGAAGACTAGAGTGAAAAGCAAGAGTCATCAAGGAAGAAAACTAAGCAAGAACAGATAGTCTGGTAAATCCCTCATATGTCTTTCCAGTATTTCAGCTGAAGACCTGCCCGGTGCTGGCAGAAATCCCCAAGTGATTCTAAACATAATGGGTTTTCCTTCTGTAAGCAGACATGTGACAGCATGGATCCTGCCTGGTGGAAGGATGGAGCCCAGTCAGAGCCCAGTCGGCCCTTACACTAATTCCAGCTGATATGTCTGTCATTGTTGTCACAGCAGGCACCAGTTTCGGGGTTTTTTTGCCTTCTGAAGTGGCTATTCCAGTATAATCAAAGATTTGGCTGAGGAGCAACAATCTAGAGACTAGAAGAGCAAGAGTCCTTCCTGGCACAGTGAGGCTGCGAACCAGGATTTTAACAACCCCTTTTGGGTGCTGGGAGAAAGAGAAAGGAGGTAGCAGAAGGCTCATTGGTAGTACTGCAGCCAGGCCCACACAGCTCTGCACAAGCAATTGCATCTCCAGCACAAGGCTTCCTCAGCTTTCTCCATTGTCAGTACATTCAGACTGCCCTTTAAACTTTTCCCAGATTTTAGAACCTTAGATGGACATGGCATATTAGGAGAAATATCTAGGTAAACAGGTATTCGGAGCTCCTTTGGGGCTAACCACCGTAGGAATCCTTGCCAACATGTTTAGAACAACTTGCTGATGCTGGGGTTCAACAGCAACTTTAGTTATTTTCTTGAGCTTACTCTTATCCTGGAACTAGGGAAAGTTTTCTTTCTCTGCCTGTTTTGGAAGTAACCTCTGTCTCAGGTGTCAAGGGAGCATAAGCAGTGTATGCCAGAAATTTAATGTGATGTGCATCAAACTCCAAAACTGGTGCATGAAAGGGTGGTTTAAATCTGACAGCTCAAACATACAGTCAGACAGCTGGATCTAGGCTTCAGAACAGTTCTGTCCAGAGCACAGAGCTCATAAATCATAGAATTATAGAATGGTTTGGGTTGGAAGTGGACCCTGAAAATCATCTAATTCCAACTCCCCTGCCATGGGCAGGGACATCTTTAACTAGACCATGTTACTCAGAGCTCCATCCAACCTGGCCTTGAACACCTCCAGGAATGGGATGTGAGAATCTTTGGACATGTTTAGACCCAGCAGAAATCTCTGAGCTAACACAAAACCAGCAGAGCCACAAAGCCAGCTGCTATCTGAAAGCACTTACAGTTGCGTTTGAGCAACCATGCACTCAAGCTCTACTAATAGTTTTGAGAGAACAACAACAAAGTGCAATTACACCATTTCCAGAGTCAGCTCAGAGCTTTGATCACTGCCAGTGTTGTACACTTTGGCCCTACAGTGAACTGGAAGGGACAGTATTTGTATTACAGTTCAACTTGTAACGGTGAAATAAATTCAACATCAGTAAATCTAGTTTCAGTGAATTTACACATATGTCTGTGTTGCAAGCTCTCATTACAGCCCATGGAGATCTAGTCAATAGTCAGGGGTATCTGATAAGTGACCCAGTTCATGCTCAGGTAGATACTTAGTCGGTCAGCTGAAATGCCCTCCAGACTCTACTGTCCACATCGATCACATCTCTGCTGACTACAATTGGAACTCGGATATCTGGCTTGAAGGCAGACACTTGGATGTAAGACAAATGTAGAAAGATGTTTCAGAAGGTAAGAAGATAAAGATGACAGAAAAGATGAACTTAACCATAAAGGTTTTTGGCTTCAGCCGACAAGTTAAGTTTCTGGACTATGTGCCTGTTTCTTATGAAGACTGAGAAGCAACAAGGCTAACAAGTACAACTCTACCACAGGTAATACTAAATTACAAAGACCACTGTCATTCACAATATTCTTGAAAAGTATTTAATGCATTATTTTCAGCAGTAGCAAATACTCCCTATCTCTCTTTTCCCTCAGAATACATACTCTCCTTTAAACCAACAAAAGCACCATCATAATAGCAAATTTGTTTATAAGAAATGTTGTGCTTCACTTCTCTGTGTCTGCAGCACAAAGAAGAATCACCAATTTGGTTTATTTTTACTTTGCCCATTTCGTTCTGTTTTGCTCCTATACAATTTAAGTCAAATTTAGGTAGAAGTTCATTATAGAAAATGAGGGCATATAGAAACAAAACTTTCGGTTTCCAAGGGCTGTGTGAGTACCTTACATTCCAGGTGCCTGCCTCCTCAGCTTTCTCCTTCTTAAATATCTAACATAAAACCAGAACCAAAGGAAGCTAAAAGCTATGCTCCATAAACCATTTAGATTTTCTTCAAAAAGTTGTATCAGACTGTGCCAGACAAGCAAGTACACCAGACACAATTCAAGGTTCATCATGCTGTCATGGGTGGTAGCAGAGACTTTAGGGAAAAAAGAGAAGAGAAAAAATTCCCATAGCCATCAAATCCTTTATGCCATTCAGACAGGAACAGGAGGCAACAGGTAACACATGGGTGGTTCTAACAAGACACAAAAATTCTCAGGTTTTATGATTAAAGCACGTATGTGTGTCAATATGGACACACACGCTCAGCTTTCTCCCAAAGTTTAAAAGGCTGACACACATAACTTGGGAGGGATGTGGGGGAGCAAACGACAAAAAAAAATCCACAACAACAGATACAGTATCACTTAGGAGGACAAGATGGAAAGATTATTTTTCTCCTTACCCAGAAAAATCCGCAGAATACTGTCCATAGTCAAAGATATAGACTCTAGTAATTTGGCACACAGTGAGGTATCCCAAAGCAAAAACAAAGCAATACCTGGAAGGAAAATGGGGGAAAAAAGCTTTTCAATTAAAAAACATAAATATTTCTCCATTGAATAAACTACCTTTTAAATAGAGTTTAATCTCCAATTATTTCTAGTGAATGTTACATAATTGGAGTCTGTAATTACACCTTTATTGTGCCCGAGGATTTTTTGGTAATGTTTATTCTATGCAAGCACAGAATTTTTTTTTTTTTTATAAAGAAAGCAGTACAACCATACAAATCTTATTGTCATTAGCCAAAATATTTATTCACTTTCACTAAATAAAGCATAGGAATTATAATTTTAAGTGCCACTGTAAAAACTGGAAGTCCTATAAAGAGAAAATTAATCTGTTAAGCTTTTTTTTTTAGTTCAGAGTTAATTTACATCTGTATGAGTATAGAAGTTTGGCAAATTAGACATAAAACATAATTTCCATTGAATGTATTTCTATACATTCGAAATTCAGTACTACAAATCCCCTTGCTGCTGTTTTCAAAGGAAGTGGAAAAGGCAATTAATTTTCAAATACACATTAAAACATATCTGAGTGAAAAAGGAACAGGATGCCTTTATGTCTTCTGTTAAGATGATCCTCAGGAAATGTAAGAAAAAACACAGATAAGTACCACCCTGTGTGTTATATGTATTATAAAAAGAAATTTCACATATTGTTTTCTCAGTACAACAGTCCATCAGTGAGAACTGACTTGCCAATACACCTCACAAAATCTGCCAGATATTCTTTGAAGTCAAAAAGGGTGGTGAATGCCAACAGGAACTTAACTAATCCTCTAGGGCTTTGAAACATGATTCTCCTTTCTTTTCCAAATAAATATTTTGAAGAAAAAAAGCTAACATAAGAAATTCTAAGGTCTTAGAAATTATTCTTCCATCTGAAAGTTGCTACTCAACACCTGCAGTTTAACCTTTAATTGAGAATTGTGCTAGATATAGACCATTTAATATTTTCAAACATCCAACTTTGAAATTTCAGATTACCTTAAATATCAGTAGCTACATTAAACCAGACTTGTTATTTAATTGGGGGGGGGGAAGATTTAGAGTGCCTGTTTTAGAAATAGTTCATTTTCTGTTTTCATTAATATTAATAATCCAGAAACAGTATGATATTGGGTGTTTGTAGTAAGAATTCAACACAATTACACAATAGTTGTCTCATAATTATACCAAATAATTTCATCAAGAAAAAAATTAAGACAAGTAGTACGTAGTGGACTGTAGATAGCAGGAGTATGATATAATGTAGAATTCTTAAAGTTTGGAATTAAAATTTTCCTGAGATATTTTAAGAAAAATTGGTGTGTGCACCCCCAATCAGCCATGTTTCACATAAATGAGGAGTATAAGAGTTCAGTTTGCCTCTGCTGACATCAGTCCCAGTTCTCCCACTCACTAAAAACACAGTGATTTTCAGTTTCAGCAGCCTCTCGATTTACATAGTATATAATCCCAGATTAAAAGTAACTTGTTACATGTAGAGATATCTACATACTTACCCACAGATACCATTTTATCCCAACTGGCAATATCATGTATTTATGGTCTATTCACAGTGCAATTGGTCTAGAATAAACAGAATTACAAAAGTACCTCTATCTGTAGCTTTCATAACTTCAAATGCTATCTACAGAAGTAATATATACTTTGTTAGGACAAGAAACACACAACACATTAGTGGATTAGGTACACACCTTCAGACAGAAGAAAACAGACACCAGTTTCTACTCCTAATAGTTTACGTAAAATATTTATGTTGGTTTTAATCAAGGCATCACAAAGACTTCCTTTTGCAAGGAGAAAAGCTATGCTGATAAATACAAGTGAAGAAATACTAATAAATATCCTAAAATAAAAGCACTTGAGAAGTCAGGAAACTTGAGGTTCTCTTCTAGAGTCCATATGATACAGTCCTGCAGGATTATGTAATCCTGCAACTGCAGATTTCTGTCTCATTGAAGAAACAGGTCATTATTCTTGATATCTTCTACAGGCTTTGTATTCAGGATTTTACTTACTGCATATGTTCCACATGCTGCACTCAAGAAGTTTGGTATTTCCCCATGAGCATTTCCTGTTACTCTCCATGCATTCAAGTGTTTCATAAAAACTGCATTCCTCTTTAAGATGAATTTTAGTGACAGTTAATGATACCCCAGTTCTACATATACAAGAAAATTGAGAAATAATGAGACCATGTGGGTCTGAATATCAAACTGGGGAGATGCAAGGCCAATTCTTGGACAAACTTATTTTTTCAAAGTTGACAGAAAGAAGATAACTTGTTCAGAAAACCATCCGATGTTTGACATCCTCACAGAGAAGCTGATGACATATAGGCTGGAGGAGTAGACAAAGTGGTTTGAAAACAGGCTGAACAGCCAGGTTCAAAGGTGGTGATCAGTTGCACAAAGCTGAGTTGGATGCCAGTAATTGGTTGTGTACTCCAGGGATCAATACTGGATCTTATCCCCTTCAACATCTTAATTAATGATCTGGAAGATGGGTCAGAATTGAGCCCCATCAAGTTTGCTGATGACACCAAACTGGGAGGAGCAGCTGATACACCAGAAATTCTTGCTACCAACCAGAGAGACCTCGACAGTTGGAGAAACGGACTGACAGGAACCTCACGATGGTCAGTAAGAAAAACCCCAAGCATCAGTACATTCTGGGGGCCACCCAGCTGGAAAGTAGCTTGGCAGAGAAGTAGCTGGGAGTCCTGGTGAATACCAAGTTGGACATGAGCCAGTAATGTGACCTTGCAGCAAAGAAGGCAAGGGGGAGGGTCAGCAGTTTAAGGGAGGTGATTCTGCCTCTCTGCTCTGCCCTGGTGAGACCTCACCTGGAGTGCTGCATCCAGCCCTGGGTCTCCAGCACAGGAGGGACATAGAGCTGCTGCAGCAAGTCCAGAGGAGGGACACATAGTGCAGAAATGGAAGGAAAAAAAAAACCACCGTGAACTTCTTGATTAGATTCCAGATTTAATTTTTCAATCTAAAACAGAAGCTGTCTTCCCACAGAGCAGTGAAATTTGTTGTTATGTTGCATTCACCAAACACAACTATGAATTTTAACTATCTTCCAACAATGTCAGACACAGCACCAAGTTACACATAGCTTGGAAGACTGCAAATTTTTAACTGATTAGTAAACACATGTAATCCATTCTATACTTTTCACCTTGCAAGTGCATCTCTGCACGTTAGTCATGCCATATCACATCCCTTATCAATGAGAAATGTCATTTAATTAGGCAAAGTGCAGCAACATGCTCTCCCTAAAAGAAACGTAAAAGGTTTATGACATCTTATATCACTCCTTTTGTTTCTCCTGCAGGTTTGTGGTGCAACTTGCTAATCATCTTAATTCCCACACAAATCCACCTTTACTTTAAAAAATTCGAAACAGATCTGAAAATTCTTTGAGAACTTTCTAAAGTACTCTTACTGCGTGTTTCTTTGAGGATTCATTCATCAAAAAGACTTCTGAGATCAGAAAATTGAATAAGGTTTTGCAGAGCTCAACTGTATCAAGCTTTACCCAACTACAACACTAATTACAGGCTGCACACAAATGTAACAGTTTTACCCAAGGCTAAATTTTCTCCCCCAGCAGAAAAGAAATTGGTCTTAAAAGTCAATGTTACTCTATACTTGCAACTGTCTGAATAATGTCTTGTGAGCAGAAAGAATTAATTCACACTGGACATAAACAGCTACAAGCAAGTCACAATATTGTTATTATTATAAGTAACTTCTAGACAAACTGACCTGCAGTGAACACTGTATTATATAACAGAAAGACACAAAGACATTCATTTAGAATACGATTGAGGCTAATTCACAGGATCTTTGTTAATACTTTATTTATCAGCAGATGTGACAAACTCAGACATATCTGGGAGACACTGTAGCAATGAATACCAGAAAGAAGAACAGAGTGGTATCTATAACTTCTCATTTAAAGTTAAAAAAAAAAATTAGGCAAACTATACTGAATAACCTGTTCTACAGAAAAGCTTTTCTTGTACAGGTATTCCATATTATATTTTAATTCCTCACAACTCTGAACTTCTGAGAGGACTACAAATAATATTTATTATGTTCTACCCATCAAATTCTATCTTTCCTTTAAAAAGAAATATATAAAGTAAACTACCAGAAGGTTTTTTTAAAAGTATATTCTAACATATTATAAATTAAATACCTTATAAAGATATACATATAGATTACAATATAGAGAAAATACTAAGTAAGCAGCCTCTCAAAGTAGTACTTTACAGATGGTGTTCATCAAGAGAACATCTGTTTAATCCCATTAAAAAAAACCCAGTAAATTAATCTCTTATTAGTATAGAAAATACATAGTCCTATATCATTATTTCTTGTTCAGTCATTTTTTTGCCAAGTAACATTAACCAGCATAGATATTAGGGGCTTTTATCTGCATATGTATATAAAGCCATAAAGCTTCCTTATATGTGTATCTATATGTGTGTGTGTGTGTATATACACACAGACAGACACATGTACAGATAAACACACTTCAGTTCCTTCACATGACAGGAACTTCTTTTCGTCTCCAAACATCTTGATGGAATTTGATACACCTTTCGTATTACACTTGTTACTGCTAAATTGGAGTAGCTACACTAAATAGATTCTGAAGCAGCATTTCTACTACTGCAGAAAACCTCAGTCTCATCCCTATACTACCCTTCTTTTTTTTTGTCCTCGAAAGTTTAACATTCACACCAGCACTGCCCATCTACTCCAGTGCAAAGTGGTCTGATTTTGTTTGAACAGTTAATTTTTTTTTTTTTCTCCTACAGGCAAAGCCTTTTTATCCAGTGTCAGCTTACAAATTCACTCCATGTGATACAGCATCATGGTTTAAACCCAGCTGGCAACAAAGCACAACAGAGCCGCTCACTCATTGCCCCCCTACCCACCCACGCTCCACGGGGGAGAAGAGAATCAGAAAG